CTCGTTGGAGACGAGTAGGAAAAAGCGAAACAAAATTCCAAGTCCGAACGAGTGCATGCGAGCTCCCGGCGCGTAGCTGAGCGCCAGACCCCGTTGCGGGCGCGATGACCGTCACAGGCGTGACAGCTTGATGTGCGTTGCGGAAGGACACGAAAGGTCATCGCTGGCGAGACGAGCCCGCGATGCTGACGCACATGTTCACTCTGAAGAGGTTTCCACTCAGTTTTGGTCGACCGAGCACGTCCCAAAAGGTGTCTTTTAATGTCTTGAACCCTCTGGAGATGTGGTAGAATATCTATAAATTCCCATTAAGTGAAATTGTTTCAAAAATAAATTTTTCACGATCTCTTTGCATCATTTTCAAAGTTCATAAATCATCTTGTGTTCTTAGTGCTTCTTTTTATCTTGAGAGTTCCGAAACTTAAGTATTGTTCGTCAAAGGTTTGTGTATTTGAGTTACCGCTATACATAAATCGAAAGTCGTTGTATCTTGGAGGCGTTACCTGTGAACTGTGGGTTGTATACGAGGCTATTCCATTTTAAGGAGAGCGTATCTAACGTGCCTCGACTTGAGATTCACATACCAAACACAAATTCTACATTTTTCTCATTTGTACGCTTTTTCACATACCAAACATGTTGGTATTTCTACCGAAGTTAAATCAAAAGATTCAAACACCGAGTCGTCTCTCAAGGAAGGTTGGTCAGATTAAATTGTACGTTTATTCAATCACAGTAAAAGAAACAAAGTCCTAAACATTCTAATTCAAGATTTTTGGTTTGTTTTATCAACTACGAATTATAAAAATAAGGCTAGCTATTCCAAACTCACAGCTCAAAACACGAATTCAAATAGTGATCAAGGGGCTAGGGTATCGGGGATAATCGCTTCCGGTTCTCCATACATTTAATGAGCAATCAAGAGCTCGGTTAAATGACACGATGAACCACTCGTCTAAAGGTCTATCCTCAATAACTCTTCGTAACAAGAGGATAAATATAAACGAGTAATTCTTGAAACAATTAACACATAGGCAATACCATTACGAACAAGCCTTTCTTAACGAGCCAAGATAGAACGATTTCTCCCATTTCGGTTCTAAAATTGTTTAATTAGATAAGATGGTGATCAATCATCTAACCCTAGGATTAACACAACTCGAAAAGATTGAGCAATTAACATGCATATAAACAAAATCGAACCGGAACGATAATCCTCTAATCCTAGCTAACGAATTTAGTTACTCATAATAGAATCAACATCAAAACTCATATCAGAGAAACCCATAACATTCATGGATGAAATGAAAATAGAAGCTTACGATTAATACGAAGATTCAATATCAAATCTCGAGTTTGAAACAAATCCGAAAATACCAATCGTGGAGTTTTACTCTCCAAATTGAATCCCAATGAAACACAAAGTGAAAATATGTTCTGGAAGTGAAAAGTACGAAGACAAAGTTCAAAACCTAGCTAAAAACATCCTCCTCTCATTTTCCAAAATCTGCTATTAAAAATCTGTAAGTCGCGGCCTCCGCGGCCTTGGAGAGGCCTGCGGGCCGCGATGAATAACGGCTCCACAGTCGCGACCAGTCCCGACTCCCGAGGCCGCGAGAATTTTGGCGCAAAGGTGCCCTGCGGCCGCGGCGAAGAAATCTAGGCGCAGAGGTGCATTTTGTTCACCGCGGCCGCGGGAAGACCGTCGTGGGCCACGGTGAAGGCTTTTCAGCGCAATGATGGTTCTCGGGCTCGTATGCTCTCATCCGGGCTCGGAATTTAATCCCGTCTTTTTCAATTCGACCCCAACTCATCCGCTTAGATAGTAATCCTCGTACGGCCACTTCCCCCTCGAAATTAATGACCGACCGAGCCACCTAACCTGCACATCACCACCGACAAGAAAAACGCAGAAAAACGGGGAAAACAAACAAGAAAGCCATAAACAAACAAAATAAGGGAAAAAGCACGATAAGACACAAAATGGAGCATGAACCAAAGAAAATGCCTAAAATAGGGAAAATAAAGATAAAATAGACACGAAAAACGCGACAAAAATGGAACGAACAAAACACAAATTCTACAAATTCCTTTTGATTCTACATGAGAATAATATGTATTAAAGTCTAAAAAATATTAGTAATTATATCTACAAAAATATGTATGAATAATACAAAGCATTAAACATTACATCACGATAAATTTTATGAGAGAGATTATGTATAATAGAAATAAAATATAAAAACATTAGTGATTAGACATTTAATCTTCACGCTAAGTTTTTCAAGCAGAACAATTTTTAATTGGATGTATGAGAACTTTTTATATATTTCAAGCTAAACAATTTTTAATTGAATAACTTTCCTGTGATATGTGTGACAACTTTTTATGTAGTAAATTTATATATATAAATATAGATTTTATATATTTAGAAAACAGTACAAAATTTGGATAAAGTTCCGAAATTTCCAAATGAGTAAGCAATTTCAACACCCTCCATCTGTTCTCTGTTCATTTGGATAATTTGGATATAATTTCGAGCGTGTACTTAATTCTGATTTATCTATATAATGGTTTTCATTTGAAGGTCTGTGACTTGGTCCTAAGAAGCTAATATTAGTATTTGTACTTTTCACTTTCTTTAATTTGCTCCATATTTTTTGGATGCATATTTAAAGGTTACACTGCTCTGTATATTAGAAATACGTCACTTTCTTTTCTATTCTATTCAGGCAAGCAAGTGTTCTAGGAAATTTTGAAGAAAGTAATATATTATATATCTCCCCTCTATATAATTTCGGAATGCGTGTGTTTCATAAGCTTATTTGGCATAAATTGGTGTTTTGTATTGACATATGTTCATGTTCGGTTTTGACAGTTTGACTATTAAGCTTAGAAATTACCATAGACTACTTTCACTTTTTTTTTTTCTTAATTATCATATACTACTCTTACTTTTTTTATTTAATTCATATATTAATTATTATAAATATGTATTTCTTTTTTTTTTTACAACTATATAATTTTTTTATTTGTAGTTTATTTTTTATATATGATCTAGCAAAATTGTCACATTTTAACGTTCTTCGATTTGACATTCATGTTTGCATTTATAAAATAAAAAATTATTTTATCTATATTTATAAATAAAATCAATTGAATTATCTACTCAATTTAAGAAAACATCGAGTAAAACTATAAATTATTTTATAAAAATTATAAAAATATAATTCATTAATACACCATAAAATAATCATGTTATTGATTTTTTCCCATAACTTTTGGATAAAAAATGAAAATTAAGTATTACATAAAATAAATTATAGGAAATACTATAAAATATTATTTCTCAATTTAAATAGATTATATAAAAAAAATTGAATATTAATTATGTTATTTAAAATTGTAAATATAAAGAAAATCATAATTAAATTTAGTAAAATAATATTTTATTTCATAAAGTTAGAAAATAAAAAAATTCTACGTAAGTTTTAAATTATTATTATATAAAATTAAAATACTTGAAAATTAATAAACGTAAGACACTAACTCTATAAACATAAAATACAATCACCATAAAATAAAACTTGTTTTGTTTAAAAAAACGAATCAAATACATGAAGTTCTAAATAATATTAGTTATATACATATATAATTTTAAAACATAATTAAAAATATTTTTTTGGCAAATTTAGTGTAAAAATGCGGGTACCATTTGAATTAATTCACTTTGTTAGTTATTTATTATTGTTGCATATTCATCATACATAATTTTACAATAAAAATTTAAATTGTTTTAATTTTTATTGTACAAATATTAATATATTTAATTACTCAAGTAATAAACGGGTATCGTACTAGTAATAAGTTACAAGGAATGTCCTACGAATAAGTTGAAAATTTATTAAAATTGTAACCGCATTTAATTAGCCTAACGAAATCAAAAATCAAATGCAAATATGCATATTTAAGATGAAAGTATGTTGGCCTAGCTGCCACGCGAACTCGGTTTTGCTGCGAGTGGACGACACGGGGGTGTTTAGCATGGTCGCGACCTCAGGGTCGTTGGCGAGTTCGTGCCTGGTGTGCGCAGTGGACTCGCGCGCTCGCGAAGGGAGTCTCGCAGCGAGCGCTGATGCTGGTTGGGCGTCACTCATGCGCTTGCGACTGGTGGTTCGCTGCGAACGAGCGCGGGTCTTCTTTCGCTCAGGGTCGCGCGCACGTGAACGGTCGTTCACAGCGAGTGGCGCACTGTCTCTCGTGGACGGGTCTCACAGGTCGTCTCTGGCGCTCGCGGACCAAGTTTCGCAACGAGGGTCCGGCTGCTCATGGGCCATGTCGCGCGCTCGCGAACAACATTTCACGGCGAGTGCACGGGTCAAAACTCTTTCTCGGAGGATGACTCGGGATGACTTGGAAAATGGCTCGTCTTCCCAAACTTGCAATATGAACCTAAATAACACGCCAAAAGAGACAAGAAAATACGACACAACACAAAACGCACAACGAGAACAAAAATACACAAAACACAATAAAATACACGAGTTGACACTAAAACGACCCTAAAAGTATATGACTAAAACACACAAAACACACTAATAACACCACAAATTGAGTGGCAAACTTCAATAACGTAACGAGAGGCGTTTATTATTATTGTCATATAGGAAAAAATTGAGGCTCTCTTAAAACAAATCATCTAAAAATAGTTAAAATTAGCACAGCCCACGTTTTATGTGAATGCTACAATATTTCCTCTCCTTTCGATCAAAAAGAAAGGCGCACACCTAAACAAATGCAAAGAGAGCTCTCCCCCATTAATCCCAAAACATAACAGTATCAGGGTTGGAGCAAATTATAACCAAAAAAAAAAGTTCATAATTAATTCTACATAGTTGAAAAAACCAAAAACACAAACCAAAAAAAAAAAAGGAACTCGGCCAGGTTCGAAAAGATGACTAGCCGAGCAAACACAATCTGGTTTCTCATTTTGTGTTGTGCTCAAATACTCTCCTGCGCCTCTGCAGGTGGGCTACAAGCTGGTCGTCCCCGCACCCTGGCTGCCCTCCCCATTGTCGACGTCAAGATCTTCAATGTCCTCGATTTTGGCGCCAAACCCGGAAAACAACAAAAAAGCACCCAGGTTCAATTAAAAAAAAAAATCAATTACATTATAAATCAATTTTCCTTAAGAAAAATTGTTTTTGAAATATCTGATAAACAAAAAAAATGCAGGCTTTTATGGATACATGGAGAGCGGCGTGTGACTATGTGGGCCATGCCGCAAAGATGGTGATCCCGCCTGGAGTTTACAAACTGGGCCAAGTCCTGTTCCAGGGCCCATGCAAGAGCCAGAATCCCGTCGTTATTCTGCTGCAGGGGACAGTGCAGGCTCTGTCCGACATGTCAGCTTATCCCGACCAAGGGTGGATTATGTTCGACGAGATCAACGGCCTTGTTTTCACTGGCGGTGGCACGATCGACGGTCAGGGCCAGAACGTGTGGGAGTACAACGACTGCAAGACAAACCCGAGCTGCACCCATCTGCCAGCTGTAACTCTCCCTTCCCTCAGTTAATTAATTTCTTTATAAATTGATAGTCGGATGAGGAAGTTGATTTTACTTATATTGATTGAAACTGAAAATTGTGGAGGACAGACGATATACATGAGCAAAGTGCAGAACGCGAAGGTGAAGGGGATAAGCATTGTGAACAGCATGGGTTTCAACATGCACGTCACGGAGAGTTACCTCGTCCGACTCCATACGCTCACAATCGACAACCCGGCAGACTCGCCCAACACCGACGGCCTCCACATCAGCAAATCCAACACCATAAAGGTCTCCCGAAGCATCATCAGGACAGGGGACGACTGTGTCTCGGTCGGCCAAGGATCCACCAACATCACGATCAACAAACTCACATGTGGGCCCGGCCACGGCATCAGGTAAATACAATATTTCCGAGGTGTTAATTTTTCCCCTTTTTTTTTTCTATTCCATATTTTCGTGAATTGATATTGTGTGTAGCGTTGGGAGCCTTGGAAAGGTGCCAAACGAAATGGACGTGAAAGGGCTCATTGTGAAGAACAGCACGTTGATAGGCACGACAAATGGCGTCAGGATCAAGACATGGCCAGGCTCACCCCCAAGCACTGCATCTGGCATGCTCTTCAAGGACATTGTCATGGTAAACGTAAAGAACCCCATCGTCATCAACCAGAACTATGGGTCGACCTCCACAAAGGTAATTTGTTTTTCAAGTATTCGGACTAAAATAAAAAGAAAGACTACTCATCAATTTCCTTTAACAATGTCCTGTTACTTATTTTGCAGCCGTCTCAAGTGAAAATCAGAGATATAATCTACCAAAACATCATAGGGACGACAATATCACCGGTTGCAATCAACTTAATGTGCAGCTCATCCGTACCGTGCCAAAACGTGCGGTTTCAGAACATTAACCTGAAGCACATAAGCAACGAGAAACTTTCGTCCACCTGTACTAACGCGAAAATAGCCTATTTCGGTGTACAAAATCCACCACCTTGTTGAGTGAGTATATATGAAGGGAAGTACAAAAAATAGTAACCAAAAAACAGGAGTGAAATGAGGGGCAAACAAAAATCGTATCACATACATTGTCTTTCTGTCAGTCTGTGTGTATTTCAGAGCTTATAGCAATAGCTAAAACGAGATAACTCAAAGAAATGCAGAGAACTTTTATTACAGAAGTTTTGTTATTTTTAGGTGATTGATTGTGTAGAATAAATGGAAGTTGGAGAAACTTTTCTTTTTGTATATTAGATTAGATTTCTCGTGTTTTTGTTTTGTTTAAAAATTAAATTGTTCTAAAATACCATCAACCTCCAAAACACATTAACTTCGGTTATATATTACAATGAAATTCGAAAATTCCGACGGAAATATATTCCAATTGAATTTCAACGGCAATAACAACAGATATTCCAATATTATAATTTCAACACAAATTGCATATTTCTACGGAAATTGCTATAGTAAAAAAACCGTTGGAAAAATAGTCATTGTAATCATCAAATTCTATCTAAAATTTCAATAGAAAACTCATTCCAACAGAATATTTTGGTTCGAATTTCCGTTGGAATCATTGTAACAGAAGCTATCATTGGAACATCCGTCGAAATTTCCATTAGAATGTATTTCACCATAGAATTTCTCGTTGGAATATAACAATTTGGTTATTCTGTATATTATAAAAATTTACTCCATATCGATATTCCTCCAACCACCGATACTCTTCCCAACTTTTTTTGTTGGTAGAAGCGCAACTCTGCGATCGTGTACACGAACGCAAAAGAATCAAAAAAATTGCAAGATTGTCCCAAGTGTTCGAAGAATAATTTTTATTTGAACGAACATTTGATGGAGCCTTGATGACATGGTCTTTCTCGCCCTCACGCACGCAGACACCTGGGAATAATTTATATGTATGCGACGTTTTGCTGCAGGATCTCCTATGCCGTCAGAGACACCAAGAGTCATCTCCAACAACATTATATATAGCAGTAGACTCCCGCATTACACAAGTCGTCTCAAATACCTTTTTGGGCCCACGTTGGGCTTGGCCCATATCGCGGTGTTATATGTCTTTTGTCCGCACGTGGGCTTATCTTCCAATATGTGTTCGTTTTATCCATTAAACCGGGTCCAGTATAATATCCTATATCACATGCGGCCCAACTGGCTCCCAGTCGGCCCATTAACGCCCTAAATGCTGCCCAACAGCCTAGGATTGGTCCAAAATGGCATCAACTTGGTCTAATAGCCCTATTTTTTGTCAAAACTTATTATGGTGACTCGACGTGGAGGGGAGGTAAAATTTGAGATAACTTTCTTATGAAGGAGGTATGAAATTGAATTTAATTATGGGCTTCAGGATTTAAATTGACAAAAATGAGATAAATTGCTTGATTTAAATTGAACAAATTGAGGGCTTGATGATTCAAATTGGTGAGAATTGGAGATATTTGATTGCTCAAGATATTATTTGATTTTTAATAGAGATGTTATGTGATTTGTTCGTGGATAAATTTGATTTGATCGAGGTATTATTTGATCTATTTGAGGAATATTATGTGATTAATTCATGAGATTACGCGATTTATCCGTTGAATTAATTCATGACTTATTTGAGGCAATTATTCGATCTATTCGGAGTGATAGTTGATTTAATTGAAGAGATATTATTCGATTCGTTCGAGGAGGATTATTTGACTTGCCCGAGATATTATTTAATTTGCTCGTGGAATTACTTGGTTGGTTCGAGGAGAATTATGTGTTCTATTCGTAGTGATAATTGACTTGTTCAATGAGGCATTACTTGATATGTTCACGAAGCTTGATTGAATTAATTCGTAGATATTATTTGATGTGGTCGAGGAGACATTGTTCGGTTTATCCATGGAAAAATTATGTGATATATTCATGAGCGTTACTTTATTTGATCGTGGCTATTTGATTGGTCGTGGTGATACTTAGCTGGCTTGCGGAATTATTCGATTTGATCGAGACATTTGATTTATTTGAGGAGGTGCTATTTGATTTATTTTTTTTGAGGCATTTGATTTATTCGAGGAGGAATATATTTGACTTATGCGTGGAGGATTATCTGATTTGCTTGAATGATTATC